TTCTTCATTTTTCAGCTTAGGAGTAGATATAGTAACACATTTCTACATGAAAGGGGAAAAGTATGAGATCTTCCTTATGCAGGATATAACAGGTTGTAAAAAGATGGAAATTGTATCTGTAAAACACAGTATTCAAATACATTGCAGAAAGAGAAGCAGTTACATTGAGAGCACACAATGTGTTCTCAACTCCTCTGATACTTGGGCTAATTATTAACTCCTTGCTCAGTAAAACACTGTGCTTTGGTACAGTTCAGCCTCTTTGTTTAACCTGTGTGAAACCTCTTCAGCAAAATAAGGCAAATGCTACCCACCCCGTGCACCCCAAAGCCACCCTATCCTCATCTGTGTGTGTTGCTCAGGCCATCCTCATCTCTCCCTCCTTCAACAGGTCTGACAAACCTCCTGTAGGGCTTTTCAATCTCTTCTATAAGCATTCATTATTTTTTACCCAAACTTTTGCTTAATGTCCCTAAAAGTTCCTCCCAGGCTCTGTGCGGGCTCTCTGCTGGCTTCTAGATGAAAAACTTTCTTATCTCCTGAATTTGGCACGGTAACTTATGACATTTGAGCATAACAGAGATGCTTAGTGGAGGTTAGTGGCTTTTTCCTTCAACAGGACTAAAAGTCCTGCAACCAATTAATTGCTAAGTGCCTTCAATTCTGAGTAATTCTTCAGGTATTCTGCTGATAAAATTTTTGCACCGTTTTTCATAACTCTCATAATGACACGGACATAAAACCACTTTATTCTTAATTTAACGTTCAAAGTCACTATTCAGCACAATGACTTTAAAGTTTACAGCTGGACTCCATAAGCTGGAAAAACTTACGTAAACATCTGACAGAAGTAGCATCCACTCAGAGTGATCTTCAGCTCTTTGCTTTCCCTTTCCCTCTGTACTTGTAGTACAAAGGCCCTTTTCTGAACCTCTTTCCAAGTAAATCCTTATAGAAAGTGCAGAGCTGTAATAGCAGAAAATACTCAAAACACTGCTGCTGTGTAAGAAAATAATTTGTACACACCCTAGGGTCTGGATTCACAAATAGGATTCCTGAACCATCCAGTCAGTGTTAACAGAACGATGCAAATGCCTTGAAAACTGCAAGGGAGTAAAACCAATAAGGAACATTTGGCAATGTGAAAACGGAATAACAATAAAACAATTACTAACAGTTCTCTTGTCATATGCATAATTAATTGCAGTTTTGCTGCCCCACATAACAGCTTTTTACTTTTAGCATGTTTCTGTTTGATCTACAAATACTGAGTTGCATCACTGGGAAAAAATGGAATTGTAAAATACTGAAGATACCTGGTTGAATTGTCAAACAGTTTTTAATTCGCTTTCTTAGAATGTGTTTTAACAGGGAGAGAGCTAAATAGCCATACAACTATATATAACAACTATATATATAACCATACAACTATATATATAACCATACAACTGAAACTGTGAATTTCTCTTTTTCTTCCTTTTACTTCTTACCTGCCCGTGGTGACAGCTGAAGGTATGTACATTTCTTATTAAATTTACTTAATATTTTTAACCATTAGAGATGGATTTCCTGCATCACTCACTTGATGTAGGATGCAACAGTTACACAAAATTCTTGGTGAATAAATCAAGACTGTGTTATAACTAGATTAAAAACTTTTCAGCTGGAAAAAAATTGGAAATACCATTTTCAGTGTGGTTCCTCCTATCTCTGATAATTGCAGCATCCCACCATCACCAAATTCAGACCTAGTAGGAGTCAGTTGCTTTGCGGGGTTAGCGCTGTTCGCTCCCAGGTACCTGTGTGTAGCAGAGTCTCTCATGCAGAGATGGCTTCACTTGTGCTGTGATTGCCACTTCTTCAGACACCCCTCCATAGCTTCAGATGTAGAAAGAGTAGAAGACTAGGAAAAGGTGGAAGGAAGCAGGTGAGTAAATCTTACTGAGTTCCCAGTAGCACAGTTTACAACACGACAGCGCAGAGAAGTCGGAGAACAGGTTGTCCCAGCCCCTTACAGAGCAAACCACCTGCCTGTGGAGAAGTAATGTTTTTACTAAAAAGTAGGGAGTGCTTTCTGCCTGCTCATGACATTTGCTGTGTTGCAGTACTAAATTAACTCCTTTGACTGAGTTTTTCTTTAAACATTTAGAAATTTACACATAATTACAAGATTTTGGAGTTGGTTTTGGTGGAAAGAAGTGGGAGAGATTGTTTTTCATTCTTTCTAGCCTCTAAAATAACATTTTGTTTCATTCACAGCACAGGCTGGCACAGCTGTTATGCCGGGTAAGTCATTAGCTTAAGTTTCTGAATGAAGCAGCATCTGTCAAAGGAAATAGGTTCAGACAACTGAAATTACTGGAGCGATAGAAACTGCCTTTTCTGGGTTTACAACTGAATTTTAACAAATACTACCAAATTCTGCTCACTGCTAAAACGATGCTCGCTGCTAAAAACACACTTAAAGGTTGAACAATACCAGATGGAAAAGTTTGAGCTAAATAGCTCTTAAGGAGTAAATGCCAGTTCATCAAACCACCATTTTTTCCTGAAAGCTGTTTCCCAAGAGCAGAGAATAGACTTGCATTTGCATCTCCTTTGGAACTTTACAAAGCCAGGGACTATGATGTCAGCATCTCAGGCTAAATTAATATGCTCAGTTACTTATACAAAAAGAAACTGTTTTATTCAAGAGAGAGACAGCAACTGACCCTCCAGATTGCTGGCTGGGTAATCCTAGAAATGGGAGAGTTAGATTTAAGTTTTTGCTCTCGAGATTAGTCTCAGTTCCCTTTCTCAATCTCTGTTGAGTTTTCTCAAGTCTTCATTGAAAAGATTTAGCTTCATTCTGGAAGAAAACAAATATCAAAACCTCAAAGGCTGTCAATGGATGATGTTGCGTTCACTTGCTGATAGCTTAATCCTTAAGTCTGAGACATCTGTGTCCTACAGATACCTTACCTGGGCTTGTGGAAACCCTCAAAAGAATTTAGATGACAAGTGAAATCTATCTCAATCGTGAAGCTTTGCTTGATTCAAAAGGGGCACAAACTGTCATTCCATGGACTGTATGCCTTAAAAACTAGGACGGAATTAGCAATTTACCCAGCATATTAACTTCCTGACATTTTACATGTACTGGGCAGATAGTGTGTAAATATTCTGCTTTGATGGGAGTTTTTCCTAACTTTTTTTTTTTTTAAATTTACACTCTACAGCTCCACAAGTCTCTTACCTATATAACGCACACCCCACATGGTACACTAGCGGTGAGTACTTTGAGTAGTGTCTGCTTAGAAGAAGAACAGAAGAGAGGGTATTTAAGACTAAAATGCACAATTCTTATGAGCCTTTTAGGTAATTCCTTCCCACAAAAGCAGCCATTTTTCATTTCCAAGGGGCTAGTATTTTAATTTATACATCTCTAAATGTTTTTTAAAGATCAAGTCACTGAGATTATTTATGGCCATTTTCTCAGTCCTCCTTCCCATTGCGAGACTTCGTGTTGGTAACTTACTAGTCTCTATTCAAGTGACCTTCCTGCCCTCAGTAATACTTCCATGGCCCTCAGAGAGCAGTGGCCCTCCTGAACCTACAATCCATGTGCCAAATTTTGCAGTGGTCAAGAGACACAGGATATGTATCATGTACCTGGGAAAGATGAGGGGAAAAAGGACGTTGTTCACTTTGGGGAGATGGCAGCAGCATCCCTGAGACCCCACCACTCCTTTGGAGGATGGGCTGGACTAAGCTGGGCATACATTTTGTGCAGGAACCAGTTCCTGCTGGTCCCCAGCATCAGCAATTCCATTGCCACAACGTTACGTGGTCATGCAGGACACTGAACCTGTGTATCACTATGCAAATACCACTGATTTGCCTTTACAGTTGATGGAGATCCACACTTCATTATATCGGTGCCACAGAAAGATGATGCCATTTGTTTCAATATCAATGAAAACCCAGGTGCTGTGTTGAATTTAATTAAAGACCCAGTTACAGGTGAGTTCTTAATTTTTTAAAATAAAGTAAATCAGGATATTTGTAGCAAAATGTCTTATGTTTAAAGGCTATTTCTCTCTTTTATACTGTGTAAGCTTTTTTCCCAGCAAAGTTAGTAGGAGTTACTGTAGCTGTGACAGGGTACTCTTCCCGTGGCTGTGTTTTCACTTCTTGGAGCAAAATGAACTTTTAAACTTTGTTTGAAAGCCACCATTGAGAGCTGAGATCCATAACTTGTCTCGGTGAGTAGTAGTACAAGCAATGAAATAACCCTTGTGTTGCCAGTTCATGGAATGCCTGGTAAAGAGAGATTGATGGCACACAGCCTTTTGTGCCCACCACAGACTCTTTGTGCTCTAGGAAATATTTAACTTTTCTCTATAAAGTGATTGTTGTCTTTGTGGAAATCCACACAGCAGTCCCCAGAGCTTTATTCTACTTTGGCGTAAACACACACAAGTAATTCTGATCTGTTTTTCAACTCTTCTTTGTTTCCTTGAGTTGTTAAATTTCCATTACGCTCCTTGACATCAGTTGATTAGGTCCTATCTATAAACCAAAACTTGATGTTTCCTTTTATATTAGGCATCACAATCAATGGAGAACTCATTGGTGATAAGATTGTAAATAACGATGCAAAGATCCAAAATACATATTTTGGAAAACTTGGCATTGCAAATAAGCACCTGGATTTAAAACTGACAGTAACTCCTGAGAAGATCACACTTCAGAATGGCAACGAACAAACAGGTTTTACCTGGCTGGACTCAGTCACCTTGCAACAAGAAGGGTAAGGCTTACAGAAGGAACACTGGGCTCCTTTATTAGTTTCTACACTTTGTTTAGTGTTGATAAAATAATATAATTTTAAGATAGGTTGTCTGAATACATATAAGAAACTGATTCAAGTCCTGATGGATTCTGCTCTCTGCTTTGTTGTGTAACTGCTGAATGAGTATTCATAAATGCCTCTGCTTGGGATAAATGAGTGAAGAATTTTCCCTGATTTTCTATTACTATGACTAAGATAAAACTAGATTTGATGTTGTGCTTAATGCAACAGTGTCTTGCAAATACTTAAAGAGTAACTTTAGACATACTGTGTAAACTTTTAAACAGACACAATAATGTGCTGTAAACAATCTCCATTTTAAGAAATGGAAATTGTGATATCTATAGCACAGGTACATTTTGCCCTGTCAGCAGGTATATTTTTCATAAGATTTATCTATGACAGAATCATTTCTACCTGTGCAAAAGGAACAGGCAGCATCTCCTCCTCATTTGCATTTTCATTGTGTACCTGGACCAAAATCACTGCCTTCTCAAAGCAAGGCACTGTAACAGACAGAGCACTGGAGCAAAACTCTTACTCTTAGAGCATACTTGTTTTTTTACTATGACAGTCACATTGATGATATCACTCACACCATCAGAAGCAAATCTTTATCCCAGCACTAACCGAGACAGTTTGGGAGTTGTCTTTTCCGAAAAACAAAAGGAAGAGGTGTCAGGTAGCATCTGGGCAAGGAAGTGTTGGTTTTATCAGTAATGTTTTTATCACTGAGCATGAAGTACTCTACCTACATATCACTAACCTATCTGTGATTCATTGCATTGTTGGAGGATGAGTTTTGGTAGAAACATCTTGCTGAAAAGTTTAAAGACCAGGCAGCCTTTTACAACGTAATTTAGTGTGAGTCTTGGACCATCTGTGAACACACAGAGATTCACATGGACCAAAATATGCAGCAAAATCTTAGTTTAAAAGACACTGAGCAATTTATAAAGCCATGGTTGTTCATTGAATATGTTTCTTCTTCTAGAGCTTCTTCTCATTGCTGTTAACTCTGGGAAGCGCAATGCCTTAACTCAAATTTTTCTTTTTTCCTCAGTTTAACTTTGATAATTAATAGGAAAAAGAACCTAGTGCTCAAAATGGGCAGCGGTGCCTCATTTGTTATTGTTTTGCATCAAGTATGGAAGAAACATCCTCTCCACCAAGATTTCCTAGGACTGTATACATTGGAAAGTGATAAACTGTCTGAACAGACCCATGGATTATTAGGTATGATTTCATTTAGTGTTTTCGTGCTCGTCTTTCCTTGCGAGTCTACAAAATTTGTAGACAGAATCTTGTACTAAACCTTTTGAACAGAGATGGTGGAAGAAACTGAGAGGCCGTTGATTGGCCGTATTAAGATTTCTGACAAAATACTCTGGGCTCAGACTGTGTGCATCATCTTAAATTCCTCTGCTGCTGCTGAAATCACTGGCATCCCTTGTCCTCCCTGGCATCTTCAAAGCCCTTTATCTCACTAAATCCCACCTAGATATTTTTTTTTTTCTTACTACACTATTCCTCTGTCCTCTTGGGTGGTTTGATCTCTCCTTTCGTCTGACACCTTTCTCCTAAGTACAAGCACTCTGAGAAAATACATGGGCTTGCTCAGTCAAAATTTGCCAAACCTCAGTTGGAGCATCCTTGTACAAAAAGAAGTTTTTGAGGTATATTTTGATTTACCAGCATACATAAAAATCAAAGAATGCCTTGTATCGTCTAAGGTTTTCCTCACGTTAGCCAACAGTCTTTATTCTAGTAGAAGGCAAAGTTGGTAATTCAGGGATCAGAATTTTGACCCCATTGAATGCTGTTTTCTGCCAGTGTAGTGGGTTTGTTGGAAAATACACAGATAGCAACCATTTTCCCTTGACTTCCAATTTTCACTTACAAAATCAGATAAGGGCAGCAAACATTGCTGTTGTGTCAGTAAGTTTACTCACCGTGGAGAACTATGAACTGCTGCAAACTTGCTCTTCTCAGCCTTAGTGTGCACTTTGTCGCCTGAGCAGAGCGAGCCAAGGTGTCAGCGGGAGCACAGGTTAGATCCA